CTAAATGTTTTTTTTGCCTGTAGTGCTTGAACATACAAAGCTAACTGATGTATTATGTACTACCCCACAGGTGTTGTTAGGTAATGTGTTACATCTAGAGACACTCGCAGTCGATGTTCTCAGCCTGATTAAAGTGTTATGTGCTCTAGTTGATGGCAGAGGAGAACAAATCTGTTCGATAAATTGCCTTAGTATTGATACAAATTGTCATAATTTATTCCCATCCATACATATTTTGACTTTTAGCATTTGTAAAATGAGTGATGAATCATGGTCTTGTCATGTATTATATAAGGATACAGATTTTTTATAATCTATAAGTATTGATAATATATCCATTAATACGCTAGTCATTAGTAATTCAGTATACATTATTTTCAAAAATCTTATTTTTCTTGGATACATTAATAATAAATAATAAATAATAAAATGTTTTATATAGTGCTTTTCCAAAGCTGAACAGTATAAAATTATTTACAATTAAAATACTTTAGAAAATAAATATGTCTTTTAGTAATTTTTTAAAACCTGTGACAGAATTTGCAAGTCTGATTTTTGCTGCAAGCACATTCCATAACACAGGGCCAAATTTTAAAAAGGCACGGTTACCAGACATCTGATCGACTATACTGTAAGACCATGCATTAAGGCACAAATAAGGTAACATCCCTTTCTGATGCCCACTTCTTTTACATTCATGGAGCCTAATAATATTCTGAAGATGCTCTGGTGCTAACCCAGCAAGACAGTAGTATACTGAACTAGTAGTACCTTAAATTGGAATCTTTGCTCGATTGTAAGCTAATGGAGATTGTTAAGGAGAGGTCCTGCACTGATACTGGTGCACATACTGGTATCTGGCAGCTTGATTTGTAATGATTGCAATTGCTGCATGTTTTTGACTGAAGTAACTGTACCAGCTAATATCTAAGAATTACAAGAGTCTAGTCGTGATAAAATAAGCTAAAGTACCTGGTGGCTTCAGCACAGGTCTTCACAGGGCACATTTAAAATTACGTACATTATTATTATTATTATTAAATTTTATATGTGGTTTAATGTTCAACTACTATGAAGAATTTTTTTCCCTCAAAATTTAATAACAGTACATCAGACTAATGAGTTCAAAAAAGCAACAGAGAAAGACACAACACTCCAGAAATTAAGAAGTGTGACATTAAATGGCTGGCCCAATGAAAGGGTAGAAGTAGACAATGAAATCAAGCTATACTAGGGAGTCGGATAAGAAATTAATGTATTAATTTGCTATTTAAAGGTGAACCAAGATAGATAATAGAATAATATATAGTAGAGCAGTCACTCTATAGAGTGTATACCAGTACCTCTGACCTGTGCCTGAATACTGAACTATAAAATATATTATGTATGGGCAATTCCATTATTTTCTTTTATGCTCAAGAGTAAGTTCAAGGGGGGAGAGGGGTGTGAAGTGAATAAAAATTTTCCTTGTATTTTCCATTTTCTTCCTAAAAGTCATTTATCTCTTTCTTAGATTAATGTATTATTTATCATTCCACTAAATGTTATGATAATATCCATTCTTTAGTTTTTTGCGTTATCCTGCTAGGAGACAGATAGACAGCCCGCCTGACAGACGGGCAGGGGTGAATACAGTACATAAGGCCCCGTAAAAAAAATGGTTAGTTTATCACCCTATCCCAGCAAAAAAACTGATGAGGGAGGGAGGGAGGGAGGGAGGTTTTTTTTTTTTCCAACAGTCCCATCGGCGTTCGTTGGTGCATTTGGTTGAGGACAAACACAAAAAACCGCCTGTCGCACTGCCACCGACCCATTCAAATACACTAGCCTAGACCTACTAGTTTGGCCTGCCTGACAAGGGTGATTCATGACAAGCACAGCTAGCAATACATACCGTCGTAAAATCTTCTCCTGTGTTTCCTCCTTCTCCAATCTCGCCCGATTTGAAAGCATCAAACAATTCATTATAACAGATATTTTTTGCGAACCAGCCCTTCAAAACATGTATTCCCCTCTTTATTTGCATTACAATTAGGCCTAGAGGCATGATGAAAAAGTGTCGGGGTCATTCATCTCACACACAAAAGATCGCGCCGGAGTAGAAAAGCTATCTTAGTGCGCATGCGCAACATGAGAAGATCGCCTGTAAAGTAATCTTTAGCCTTTTCAAGTGAAAAATGAAGAAAAAACGATCATTTAAAATGAAAAAAAAATGTTAAAAAAAAAAAAGAAGAAAAATCGGGCCTAACCTCCTTGGCGGAGGTAATTATTGCTACACAGGATATAATAAGACAAATCTTTAATTTAATGCTGTTGATTAAATTATAATAATGTTTTTATATTATATTTTTAGATAAGATGTATTTATCATTTTATTTATGTTATCAAATTAATTGGTCATTATAATATAATTAGAAAAAAAACAAACACTGTATTAAATATGATGATAAACAGAACTATAATTTCCAAAATATATTAATGTTAATCTACAAAATTCAAATATATATATATATATAGCAACATATTAATTATTTTGATAAAATAGTAAAAAAATTACAAAAATAAAAAATTAAACCAAATTACATTGTAAATTATAAAGATCAATGCTAATTATTGCTGTCATGTTGTTTATTATAATTTTATGAAATGCAATAAATAAAACAATTTGTTTTGTTGAGTGAAAGTAAATTACAAATTTGTTGTCATGTTTATGCATTCGTCTTATCATATGGTTAAACATAAAAACGAAATCACTTTTGATGGGAGAAAATGAGAAAAATAATGGCATTTACAGATTGCCTTTTACATGGAATGCCACAGAGACAGAATCCAATCAGAGATACCTACCTAATTGGGAAAAGCTTGACTTACTTTGCCCAAGAAATTGATTGCAGCGTAATAGTGGATTGAGGTCATGTGACAACTGTATCTAGGCATGCTCAGAGCTATCACATCACTGCAGGCAGGCATTATTTGATATCCAAGAAGCAATGTCAAAAGATATTGAATTCTATAAAGATCACTGAATTTGTATTGTAAAATGTTAATAATATTTAATATATTTGTTTAATTGTACTTTTCTTTTATTGAAGACTTAATAAAAAATTATATTAAAAAAATTTCATAATGAACAAAATTGATGCCAAGTTTGCTTACAGTACATTTGATTCAGACATCATGCTATCTATACTATATACTAAAATTAACTAGCAGTACCTTGTTGCTTATTAATAAATATGATGTGCTTTTATCTGCAGTTTGAGCACACAATATTTAGTATTTATTATATTACTGTAGAACAGTTTTAGATAATTAAACCAAACACAATATGTTCTTACTGCAAGCTTTCTATAGTCCTACAGTTATATTAAGCAAACCAGATAAAAATATATGAATATTTATTATATAGTTTCATTAAAATCAACATGACCTTTAATACCAATGTAAACTTTGCCATTTTTCACTATTAATTCCCTGTGCATATAATATATTTTCCTTCCATTGAAATTCAATGTAACTATCTTAATCATTCTCCACAAGTATAAATGAGATAAAAGCATTATTACTTTGCTTTGAATTGCCAGGGGTAAGCATGTATTTGTTGAGTGATAGATCACAAGTTTCCCATTTTATTTATTTCTGTTTTGAGCAGGGGGTAATATTAATTAGAGATATTTAATCTATTATCTTTTAATGTATCCCCAAAAAAGAAAAAGAGCTTTTATTGTTATTTTTCGGAGGCTCCTCAATGCTACATTTATTGATGATGATAGTGAGAAGCCTTTGTGTTATATATTAAATATATAAAAAAGTAGAGATACATACTGACGCTGCTAGCAAAATGGTATTTCAGTGGTACACAAATCATACAGCTATTTTAACCCAGAGGAATAGCTAGTACGTAATATTGAGTGTAAAGTGATCTTATAGCTAAGGAACTATGGTATAACATTGAGACGATTATTATGTTTGGTAATAAACTCTATTACAAAAAAAAAAAACGTCTGCTTTTCGAAAAGAGAACACTCCTCAAAATAAAAATGGAATAGTCGCCCATGGAACTAGGAACAAGTGACCCACGCCACCATACCCTGTCCTCTTTCTTTTTTGAAAGATTAGGCTGTGTTGCGATTTTGCAATCTCCCTATAGCAATGTTTTTGATACTTAGTATTCCATTATTAATGACCGATCATTTTAATTATTTAATTCTTTATACGGTTATCCTGTTTAGTAGATCTGCTGCATTCCCAGAGGGCCATTGCTACTTTTTTAATAGCTAAGTCTCATAATGAGAAGACTTTCAGGGGTCGTTCACAATTATTAACATTTTCACAAGTGTACAAACATTACTCTTTTTCGGTATCTCCCCTCTCCCCCCTCTCCCCCCTCTGAAAGTGTACAAAAAAATGTTAATTTTGCAAAACCATTTACCATTTTTTTATGAAGTCAACTAAAGCAATGTACTTGGTTGCTTAAAAATGAATATTATATCCAAGGTAACATTATAATTTTACCATTTTGCATACACTGTATTGCACATTCTTATGTATATATATGTAAATGTACAAATTTGTCTACCACCTTCCCCCTTGCATACTATTTGTGCACTTGTGAAAATGTTGATAATGTTGAACCTTAGTTGTGTGAAAAGAAATCTTGCAGTCACAGGAATTGAACCAGAACTTTTGGATTGGAAGTCATCTTCCACCAAGCTATTCAGCCTTACTACACTAAATGAAGCTTATAATGAGGACAATATGAATATCAAAAGTTAATTTTTTTCTTCTTTTTTTGGGTCACTGATGCTAATTTTGAGATGCTGTGTCTCATATAAAGATGCTGTAAAGGGGTATTTTATGTTTCTGCTGTCATTTATACATTGTATACTGTAATGTTTGTTATATTGTACTGTATTACACTAACAGAAAAATCTAAAAGCCACCTGCAAAATCTAATATAATACTTTTGAATTGATTTTCGTAATGAATTCATTTTTCAGACGATGTTTCCCGAGATGGATATGGACGTGATTGAGGCTGTGCTTCGTTCCAACAATGGCGCAGTAGACGCAACTATAGATCAGTTGCTTAGTATGCAGTCGGACTCCCCTGCACCAGCCTACAGCTCGTCGGTAAGTAGGTGAAAGCAGATTACTGCCGATACAATATCTCCTCAGGGTTTTAGATTGCTTCATCCAATTCCTCTTCACTCGTTGGAACACAGACATGACAATAATAAAACCTGATAGTAAGACCATTAAGTTTGCATTTCTGTGTCAATTGCCTGCTATTCTCTTCTAAGGATTATCTTGCTCTGTAACAGACTAAGCTTATAATGAGAATCTGATTTTGAAATGAATGGGAATAAATAATTGAACAATGTTGATGATAGGAATATGCCTTATGCTTCATTGTTTCAGTGCTGTGATGTGCAGATAGAAATGATGAGCTAGATTTGATGGGTTGTGAATTAGTTGATTCACTACCTATCTAGCAGTGAAGTAGTTAATTCACTACCTCTCTAAGTGCGATTTTTCATGACTTAATAAATATATTTATTTAAAAATTTTTAAAAATTGATGATGAGTGTCATGCATTAGATAAAATAAAGATAAAAAACAAATGCCTTGAACATAATTTAAAATGGATATGTGTGTTTTATATAAATCATAATATTTTGTGATTGAATGTTTATGAACCATATCCAAATTAATACAGTGATGGATGGTGGGAGAAAATTAAAGAATTGAATATGAATATTGGCTAACTAAACTAAATTGATTGTTGATGAAAAAAACAGTGTAAATCACTAGATTGATTGGAAGAAATAATGGTAATGAAAGTAAATGAAGGAAAAAAAACAAAAAGAAATAAATGGATGGATAAATTAATTAAATTACTCATTCGAGACGAAGGTGATAAATGAATTCATGCATTAGGCACTGGAAACGACAATTTAAATGATTGATATGTAAAAGCAATTAAACAAGAATATCTTTCTTTCATTCTGTACATTACTCTATGGAATAAGAATTTAAATTAACACAATGATGATAAATATAAGAATTTCAAGCTAGATGGCAAATTAATAGATTGAATTAAACATTAAAAGATTAAGATGACCAAAATGAGATGAATATTAGTCTACTGTAATTGCAATATAAATGATAAAGATGGAGTAGAAAGAAAATGTAATAAACTGCAGGATAAAATAACTTGTGCAGTGTCCGAGATTATGTATTGAACTACAAAATTGTTTTTCTGTAAAAACATACGCAAACACATGCGTTTGTGGAACAGCATGCGTGTTTGTAGGACACGCATATTTCTGGCACGGTTCTGATGGGCCATTTGTAAAGTTTGATTGACACTGTGGAAAGGTCTATTGGATGGCGACCTTTAAAACTAAATTTTAATATTCAAATTATTTCTTTGTATTTTGAGTTAAGTAAGTTATTACTGTAATGAATTGGAAATTAGAACAAAAGAAAGATTTATTTTCTCACTGATTTTTACCTACAATAGTCTCCTGGCAAATAACTCATCTCCCGCAAATGGCTTCTTCCAACTTGGGACCCCCTGCGATTCTCACAGATTTTTACCTACAAAAGTCATTACATGTGTTGACTGTATTATCAGTTGTCTCTTATAGGTCAGCTGGTAAAAGGTATATAGTACATGAAAAAAATCATTTAAACCCTGGTTTCTCCCAGAAATGGCTTCTTCCAACTTGGGACCCCTGCAAAGTGGGTGTACAGTATGTTATATAACTCATGTTATTGTGACTTGGGTAATGGATGAAGGAATGGATGGACTTACTTGGTGTGAACACCAAGAGTAACCGACGAAAGTCTGAAAAAGTCTTACAGTATTTCCAGTGGGGTGATTCTGGTGGTGATTGGGCAGTACACCAGGAGACAATCCCCCTACTCTTTTCCAAAGAGTACACATAGGCTATTTTGCACACAGAACCAACAACTTAAACGTCTCATCCGAAAGACAGTGCGCTTTTGAAACTTGCATTTTCAGCCCTCCAGCTGAAACACACAAGGAGAGCAGCGATGGGAATTGGACCAGGGGATTTCCACATTTCAGCGTGCACACAGAGTGGTTTAGCTGACTGAGCTAGCTACTCTCATAACCCAGTATTCATTATGAACAAATAAAAAGCAGACAATGTTTAAAGTTTAATAGTGTATTTCCTTGTTTGTTTCGCAAGAAAATTTAATACAATGGTTCGACTATGGTTTCAGCTTTATTTTTCTGATCTTAGAAAATACTGTTAAATGTGTAGCCTAATCTATCTCACACATTGAGATAGCTAATCTTCCTTGTTATATTTTTCAGCAATGCTGAATCATAGATTAATTCAACTGAGGCGGTATACCTCCTTGATTCAACCATTTTCTCAGTACCACAGAAAAATTAGAGTCAAAAAATGATCAGAGGGACCACTTGAATTAGATCAAAGGACTTATGTAAAGTATTTGCTGCCCTCAACATGTGAATGATGTCCTGACAGTCTAAGCTTTACAAAAATCTGTTTGCTGCCATCTGTGTAATTTTATGAACTTCATTAATTGTAATACTGTATTATTTATCATAAAACTTTAATTACAAAAGACATCGTACTACATTTTTAAAACATAAAATTTACAAAGTTAACTGTTAACCCTAGAGGCAGTGACGCATACCCTATACTGGCAGCGATGAACATTTGTATTTTGGTGAAAATGTTTATGTTGGTGACACTGTAAATAGGACCAATTATGATTCTAATAATGGTTATTCACATTAATTGTAAAGCATTAAAATTAGTTATAATAGGTCTGGCCTGTATATGCCCAGAGAGTCCTTGCTGATTGACTTAATTTACCTCACAATTTTTATAGCGCTCATAATTTTTTATAATGCTCAAGGCACCTAGACTACAGAAAAATAAGTTACCTGAAAACATTCATTACCTGAACCATAAAATATACTTGAAACTAACTAAAGAAATAAAGAACACCAACAAAGCAGAGAAGCTGTTTGAACATAAGTAATGGTAACCCATATGAACACACACTTAAACTATGATTACATATCAAGGCTACAGTAAATATTAAGATTCTGTAATATGTAAAGTAAATATATGAACACATGGCTGTACATTGTACTAGTGTTTAAACACACAAGTGCATCTCAAATTTGTACACCAAACATTTATATTTGAATTGGTGTGTATATTTACTGTTAAATTTAGTAAAGGCCAGTGTTAGGTAGGCATACTTGTTATTAAATTTCCACTAGAAATACAGTACTTGATTCTTGCGGTTCAAGAAAAGGTGTTGAAATAAAGGGTAGTTGTCCTACAAGTTACAATTTACATCTTAAGTCAATCATAAGGTATACATTGTGATGTAATGGTATTTTTTTTATCATATTGTACATTCTTTTTTTCCAACCAAGTTGGTTCTACTGTAGTAATTAATTCTAATTACAGTAGTCTTAATCTTGAATAAAAAGGCTTTTTTTTTTTTTTTAAATGTTGTCAAAAATATTTGTTTAATATTATTGGGCTTCAAGTAAAAATAATTTCAGTTTAAATTTCAAGTAATGGATTTATTTAAACTGCATTTATTTGGAGACAATTTATAGTTACCTGGATGCTGTGAACTTGTTACAAATAAAATACAGAGTATATCAACTCATATTTTTATATCACGATCTCACAGTGTAAGCAGTGTTTATGGAATTTTTTAGGTCACGCATTTGTCAAGGCTCCCAGATGATTTATTATATTTACACTATTGTTTTCTTACTACACAAAATTGTTAGGTTATTAGGCAATATAATATGGTACTGAGGCTTTTAAGTAAACAAAACATAATGTTTGTGTTGTTGGTGTTTCGTGTTGGTAGTATATTCTGCCCTGCTCTAAGAAAAGGCATTAAGTAACAAAATCATAGTTTTGAGTAAATTAGCAAAACGCGTTTGAGTTTTTCCCAAGAGAAGTACAAATGATTTCAAATTTGTTAAACTATAGTTTGCTTAGATATATTATTAAAAAACATACTTTTCATTGATTAATTTTATTATTAAGGGGGCCAAAATGGAGATAATGCCTTTTTTCAGAGTATTTATAACTATGAATATAGATAAATACTTTTGAAATCAGGCATTATCTGCAAAAGTGTTTATAAACATGCATTAATTATTAATTTATTGAAATGTATGTATATGAAATTTAATCTACAGATTTATAACATATATTTTATAAAAATCTTGCTCCAAAAACAAGTGAAAAC